TTGGTGCAATTTGGTGCAAAAAGTTGGTAATTTTTTACTTTTTACTAGCCATAAATATGGGTCATTGCGGTATACTAACAAAAACTGTCCCACGGTTTAGCAATATGCAATGCACTCACGTTCAAGCGGCTCTATGGCATGTTAGTCCATCGGCAGATGGAAAGTCTATTCCGCCGTCTAGTAGCATGTCCTTTCAAAGAATTTCCACACACACGGTCAGCCGTCAGTTCCGCTTGATCAAGCCTATTGCCAAGACCAGTGTTGCCAGTACTTGCGTCGTGTTTTGGACGATTCGGAATCTGAAAAGGGACGATTTTTAGACAAAAAGGATGGGCCTGCAGAAATATATTTATCTTACATGTTTGTTGTGACGCAATCTGCTTCATACATTTAGTACGGTTAGAACTATATTTGTGTGTCGCGATGTCTCGACAATCATCATCATCAGAAATCAATATATCTTTATTCAAATTGGATGTATAGTAGAACTCTTTTATATCGTCCAAATTTTTTTCCCTACCACTCGTTATTGGACATATTTTTTAACTGCGGAGAAAAACGACTCGCTCGGTTTTCTCCGCAAAAATCTCCACAACATTAAAAATATAATGTAACAACATTTACAAATCATTATGTTGTTACAACGTCAATACAATCATGATTTATTTAATATAGAAAAGCTGTTGGAATGATTAGAACAGTTCATACCCAACCATTTTTGTCTGTAATATTATCAGACACTTTGTAATAAGCTTTTATAGTACCTAACTACTTTTTTATACTATCCTGAATTTATATATGGTTAACTCTTGGATATTGCTTGGGATTTTATTGTATAAGGAATCACAAAGACCTATAAAAGAAAGTTAGTTGTATTAAGTGTGTGAACATCGCTGTTTTTAAAAAACAAATTATTATTTTTTACGAGTAATAAATTTTCGTATATGTATTGTGTTGCGACCGTCATTATGCCAAATTCTTTAAACTTATCTCTTAGAGATTCTTTAACTTTAAGATTATAAATTGATTGAATAGATCTCTTCTGCAGCACAAAAATAGTTTAAATGTCGGCGGCGTTTCCCCACAACAAAATTCTATATGACATTACACGATAGAAATAACTCAAGTACACTAATCTGGCCGTATCTACATCCGTTAACTGGCGTATCTTCGTTACAGCATTATGCTGCAGAGCTAAGTCTATTTGACAATTTATCAAAATGTGGGTCCCATTGAAGCTTAGAATCTACAGTTATCCCTAAGAATACTGTGGTGTCTACAAGGCCCACATTTACATTCACACTGGTTTTTACCTGTTTTACATAAGTTAATACAAATTTAATACATTTCGTTTTTCCTTCCTTAAGTAATAAATTATTAACATTGAACCAGTGGACTACCTTACAAATACAACTGTTCACGTCATCAATAATTGTTTCCTTGCGTTTGAGTTTAAATAAAAGTGATGTATCATCCGCAAATAATACTATTTCATGTTTATGTCTTTCATAGTAAGGTTATTAATATATAAAAAAATAAGAAAGGACCAAGGATTGAGCCCTGTGGAACACCCATGTTAACCGGCGAACCCTGAGACTTATTGCCATTAATGTCAACCCTCTAAATCTGTCCCTCAGTTATGCTTCAATAAGATCCAGATCGGTATCTCCAAATTCATAGTGGTGGAGTTTCTAAGTAATGTTTCATGAAAAACGCAATCAAAAGCCTTGGACAAGTTGCAAAACACATCTAGAGCGTCCCGCGAGTTCTCTAAGGCGTTAAAAATTTCTTGTATAAGTTCATCATCGGCATCGGTTGTTGAACGACCCCGTGTAAACCAAATTGTTTACAGTGAAGTATATTATATTTATTAAAATGTGATTGCATTTGATTTAACATGAGTTTTCGAAAACTTTACTATGGATGGGTAGAACAGAAATTGTTCTCAAAACTCTCCCCCCGTTTTTTGTGGGGTCTGATATACTTCCAGTTTTATGCAAAGGAGTTATTTTACTGTATTTCATGAGGTCAGGAAAACACCATAGTCGACACAATCATTAAATATGCAAGCTAGAATAGAAGCTATTGTCTCAATTACCGATTTAGAAACATCAACGGAATTGCCCATAGATCCGGCGTGTTCTTTTTATTTAATTGGTTAAACGTTTTTATTACATATTTAAAGTCAACATGTTTAAAATGAAAATGGCTAGTAGAAGTGTTCACGTTTTCTCTTAAAATTGATTCGGCAGCAACGGGGGAAGAGTTCAAAGATTTAGTCGTTGAAACTGGAATATCAGTAAAGAAATTTCCGAATGCTGTAGCAACTTCAGTATCTGATGTAACCTTTTTATTAACAATATTTAAGTTATAATTATTATTGCGGGTTTTGGATTTTCCCGTTTCATTGTTTATAATATTCCATGTCATTTTGGTTTTGTCATTACTGTTCTTAATCTTGTTCTCACTCTAACCATATTAAATTTTTGAAACAGATAGCTCTATGATGCATTACAACAAACACGACAGATAAGTGTAGTTCTGCCATAATACATTTAAATAAAAAAAACATATATACCTCAAACGGCCATATTAGTTATATTTTTTTGGGCACACAATAAAATAAAGAAGATGGTACGGAGGACTATCCACTATGTTGTAGGTACAGCATGGTGGTACGAACGTATCACAGACTTTACAAAGTAAGCACTTATTCCTAAGTTATTATATTCATAATTGAAACATACCTCAAAAACAAAAGTTTTTGTTAGGTAAGATAATGGTAGGTGGGTTTGAGCATTGAGTAGGTATATATTAAACGTAGGTATAGCGAGCGTTGGATTCGATGTAGTTTACTTGGTGATTTGACGAACAAAGTTGACAATGTACAACGTATTGTGATTGCAATTTAGTGAAATAAATTAATGATTGAAACGAAATGCAATCGTCTAATGTTGCAGTGGAGCGTTATTGAAAACGGACGGAAAAAGGGACGGAATATGTAAAAGGACATCGAAGGGATGCTTTGATGACAAAAGGGGCGAAAATCGTCCCTTTTGGGACGTTCTGGCAACGCTGGACAAGACATCAAGTGGCATGAAGGGAACGTGAGTGGCTACCATTAGTGACCTGACATGAGAACGACCATAGAGCGACACACGTTTACTTACATTAATCTGTGATTAGTGTTGCCAACTTTACATTTTTTTACGTAGATCTACGTATTTTAGGCTATAACTTCAATAAATTATATTCAGTAACGATTTTAATTGAATATTTTGATTATTTATTTATTTTTTCAAATTAAAACTGAACTTTATTGACTGTGTCCTTTTCCAGACTTTTTATTAATTTATTGTAATTAATTATTTGCATGTAATTAAAAACTAATTTTAAACGATGCCAAAGAAGGATAACTTCTCACGCGCCTACATAAGTACACGCACCCATTTTTTTAGAACATATGTGATTTGCACTTGTATGAAACTCAAACACGTATTCCGAATATACAAACTAGAAACATGTGGATAAATATTATAAATATGAATACCTATAACTGTTACTTTATTACAAAAAATAAAGATGTGGTTTTTGGTTCTACTACACCAATGGTCAAGAGATGGCGCTGTAGTCTCCTGAATCGCACTTTGGTTCCGTTGTTCCAGATTAATAAATACTTTTTGTTACTTTATTACAAAAAATAAAGATGTGGTTTTTGGTTCTACTATACCAATGGTCAAGAGATGGCGCTGTAGTCTCCTGAATCGCGCTTTGGTTCCGTTGTTCCAGATTAATAAATACTTTTGATAGGCCTTCACAATGCAGTCGTTAGCACCGACAAAATAGAGATTCTATTTCTATTTTGTTGGTAGATTTTCTTAATGTGCGGTAAACACAAAAGTAACGCATGAAGTTGGTCGCTAAAGCGCGCTAAAGCGACCAACTTCATTATGTTAAAATTTTGTGTTACAGTGATGCGCGCGCATCTTAAAATTTCACTCTCATAATTTTTTCATAACGCGCCTAAAGAAGTATAACTTCAAAAACTATACAAATGTTTATTTCTTATAAAGATGTATCTAAAAACTCTTGTATCTTGTAGAAAAGGTTACCGTTATTGGTTTTGTTGACTAAATTAATACTGGACGCAGGATTTGTGAAAGCAACAACGTCAAAACTCTTTGACTTAGTAAGTACATTCATAACCTTAAAAATTGTATTTTTAAACTCTAAATATTATTCAATGAGTACTTACATCTAATTGATCTCTGCAAAAAGAAATGACTTTCAGTCGATAAAGTTACAGGATTTAGCAAGTTTTAAACGTGCGTTCATCTGTTAGTATGTTTATTTATCTCGGCAAATTAAACATCAACTTTTGTAGAGTCTTTTACCAAGTGTATCATGATAACTACTATATTTTTCATGTGATCTATTAGAAATCATGGTTTTATAATATTAACTCAGAAAGTGTATTTCCTACGTGCTTGCGAGTGTTTGTTTAGAAATGTTTTGACGTCATAGCATAGATAAATCAATAGACTAAATAGCGTTTTTGTATGTCTTCTAGGTAAAAACAATTATTAAACGATAGAACAATTATTAACAATTTAAAACATAATTCCAAGAAATTTCAACTAGCCTATTTAACAACAGTGTATTCTTGTCATTCTCTATACAGAATGAAAAGGAGAGACTGATTTCAAATTTAGTTTTAAATTTGGAGAATCATGCCAGAATCGACACCCACCAGTGTCTGTGTCTGATGGTAAGTGTCTACCACAGCATGGTAAGTACTTCCAATGCAGCGACTTCTCCAATAACTCTTTGTTCTATCTTCCGTTTTTAAAGAAATTGTATAACAAAATACTCGTTTTATTCGGTTTCACCTAACTTCTTCATTTCACCCAGAAAAAAGTACATAGATCTATGTACTTTTCATATGCAAAATTTACCAATTCTACGTAATTTTCTCATCGGGCCTACGCCTTTTTCAAAATCCGAGTTGGCAACACTGTCTGTGATTTCTGCTTTGTTTGCACACATTGATTTATATTGTTCAAAAAAAGTATTTAGAGCAAATATTTGATTTATTTATATTCAAGTTAAGGTACTTTACTAAACCTTCATTATGGGTAAGCTTAATTACTTGTTCTCATAAGTTTTTAATTTATTTAGAGAGAAATAGTGACACGGACTTTTTTTCAGAAAGTATAATTGATGATAGAGAGAACCTGAATGAATTCCTCGAAGAAGCAGAATTACAACAGTATTATGAGCTTTTCAGGTATTTTTTTTAACTTAGTATATATCAAGTGAATATGCTGGAAAATAAATAAGTGGTTTTATTGTTTTGCTGGCTGCCCATTGCGCTGCGTCGATTTATCTTTGAAAACTTGCGAATTTTAATGCATTTATACTTAATCTTTACTCAAGGCACAAGCAAACTTCTCTAAGCTAAATTTTCGCCATTTTACTAATATTTGCCCCTGCGAATTTTATTGTTTCATGTTAATTATTAAATCTATCAAATATTCATAGTTAATAATATGTACAAGCTACTCAAGTTGATCGTTAAAACTTGTTTCTATCCACCAACTACCACACCACTACCACAGCAGCAATGCATTCATGCTAGGCAGGCAAGATCAGACAATCAATGGAGAATTCATTCTAATCCTCTAATCTAGGGCAAAACTGGAGAAATATGAGTAGCCCACCATGTGGGAATGTATGTGATGCAGTTCAGGTGTGGTGGAAGTGTGTAAAGAGAAGAAAAGTGTGTAATTTAATTTTAATAATAGGTTGGGGAAAAGACTTTTTGCATTATAATATGTATGAACTTGTAATAAAATCTCTTTGGCTTTACCATTTGTATATGGCTGGTTTTGCGATAGTTAAAATGTGGAAATTTTAAACATGCATCATAAAAAAATCTACAAAAAAGGTAAAAATACAAAGCAAGCCGCAAAAACAAAGTTACGATATTTATGGACCTAGTGCTGTGTCTGTGAGAGTAGCACAAATTTGGTTAAAGTAGAGCAAGATCACCATATCAGTAATTAGGACATAGCTGTAGAACTGGGAAAAAAGCTGGGTACACATAAAAAGCCTGATATTTGGATGCCTCATGAGATCAGTGAAAGAAATCTAATGAACCGTGTACTTTTTTGTGATTCTTTATTATGACGTAATGAAACCAAACAATTTTGAAGAAGGTGATAACTGGTGATGAATCACATACAACAAGAATGTGCAAAAATGGTTGTGGTCTACTGCTACCCGCCTTCATATTTGACAAAAAGTACAGAATACATCTACTGGATGACAACGATCCAAAGGTAACACACAAGGCTCTCGTGATCTACACCGACGGCTCTAAAACCTCATCGGGCACGGGCACGGGTGTTTTCTCTGAGGACCTCAATATACATATCGCGTTCCCCTTAAGCCCGTACAACACAGTTTTCCAAGCTGAATGTATGGGCATCACACTGGCGGCAACAGCGATCCTTTCAAGAAAGGTAACAGGTCAGAAAATACGAATACTGTCCGACAGCAAATCAGTCCTACAAGCTCTAGGTGCCTTTTTAGTCAAATCGAGCCTCCTACAAGAATGCCACCAAACTTTAAACAAAGTAGGGTAAATCAATTCTATTACCATCCAATGGATCAAAGGACTCAGTGGATCACGCGGAAACGACGCTGCGGATGAGCTGGCCCGGAAGGGATCCGATACGACCCCAACAGGTCCAGAACCAATCGTACCAATACCGGTAAGCTGTCTCGTCAATAAAAACTGCGAGCACACAGCCGCACTACACCAGAAATACTGGCTCGACCTGGAGATGTGCAGGTAGACCAAGCTCGCTTTGCCACGGGTGAACGCTGCCTTCTCCAAAACTCTCCTACAGCTAAGCAAACCTACATTGCGCGTGGTAACGGGTGCTATCACTGGACATGCACATTTTAACAGACATCTTTTCAACTTAGGTGTCACGGACAGCCCCCTATGCAGAGGATGCATGGAGGCAGAAGAAACAGCTACTCAAGTTCTGCTGAAATGCAACGGAGTGGCCGAATACCGGGCGAAATATCTCGGCTCACCAGGAAACCTTCAAGAGGCAGTCACCAATGTGAAGGCCCTGGAGGCGTTCCTGGCGGAGCTGGGCTGGCTGGAGTGACTCCGGCCATCTACCCTCCTCACGCAAAACAGGCGCCATGAGGACGTCGAGTTGCGGAAACGCCCGTAGCAACAACAAGAAGAAGAAGAAGGTTGTAGTCAAAAGCTGATAAGACTTTACAGACTGGCGAAACCCTGGTTAACTAGCAACAAGGTGACACTGTGTTTTTGGTGGGATTGGAAGGGCATCATTTATTATAAGCCTTTACCGCTAGGCAGAATCATAAATTCTGAACGCGCCAATTCAACTTTTTGACATACTAAAAAATTTTAATATAACCAAAAGATTCGTTTATCGTACCATCAAACGATACAATGAAGACTCTAGTGTAGATGACAGGTCAAAAAGTGGTCGCCCTCGGTCTGTTAGGACTCCAGCAGTGATAATAGCTGTGAAGGCGCGAATTCAAAGAAATCCAAAAAGTAAGCAGAAACTGTTGGCCCTTCAGATGGGGTTAAGCAGAACCATGGTGAAAAGGGTGTTAAATGAAGACTTAGGGCTTCGGGCATATCGAAGAAAAACAGGACATCGTTTGAATGCTCGTCCAATGGACCTGACTCTGAAGAGATGCCGCGCTTTGTTGAAGCGGTACGCGGGAAAAAAATATCGGGATATTCTTTTTTCGGATGAATAAATTTTTACCGTAGAAGAGAGCTACAACAAACAAAATGATAAGGTGTACGCACACAGTAGTGAAGAAGCGAGCAACCGTATTCCGCGTGTCTAACGATGTCATTTTCTATCCTCGCTCATGGTATGGTTGGGAGTTTCTTATTGGGGCTTAACAGAGGTACATTTTTGTGAGAAAGGTGTAAAAACGAATGCAGTTGTGTATCAAAATACAGTCCTGACGAACCTCTTGGAACCTGTTTCTCATACCATATTCAATAACAGGCACTGGGTATTCCAACAAGATTCGGCGCCAGCTCATAGAGCGAAGAGCACACAAGACTAGCTGGCGACGCATGAAATCGACTTCATCCGGCACGAAGACTGGCCCTCCTTCAGTCCAGATTTGAGTCCTTTAGATTACAAGATATGGCAACACTTGGAGGAAAAGGCGTGCTTAAAGCCTCATCCCAATTTGGAGTCACTCAAGACATCCTTGATTAAGGCAGCCGCCGATATTGACATGGACCTCGTTCGTGCTGCGATAGACGACTGGCCGCGCAGATTGAAGGCCTGTATTCAAAATCACGGAGGTCATTTTGAATAAACTTTATTGTCTTGTCTTGTCTTATTAATCTATGTTTTGTTAAGTTCATTTTGGTATATAAGTGGTTACATAATGAATAAACTTGTCTCAATTATTTTATATTCAACATGTGACAGAATTTATGACCTGACTGGGTATTAGACAATACATTGTTATTTAAAACAATGAATTTTTTTTTTAGTGGGTTAGTTAAACTATTTAATACAAGTGTCAAGAGAAAAATCATTAGTAGAACATATATTTTTTTCTCTTAAGATATTTTCTATTGCTATATTAAGAGACAATGGAATCAATGTTGTCATTATTATTTCTCCATGAAGTTTTGCATTTTGTTATCTTTTACGCACAGCTATGATACACACTAGTCTCAAAGAATTTGTAATTCCAGTTGGCATTAATAACCTCAATAAGCTAGACATTTGTATAGAATATTCTTGAATTTGCCCCTACGTCAATAGACCCCAGTGATCCTGCTTGCGCTTTGTTTTTTATCCAAGGTTTGGTATCACAATTAATTTATGTGTTTATTTTTGAAACTCATAGCTACAGACATAGGATGTATTAATGAAATTCCTTCAAAGAAAGATAAATCACATTTTTCCCAACGAAGCACCATATAGCTATAAAGCTTTTTATCATCTGTTTTGACTAAATAATGCATTAACATTTTATTTTTTTATACACCAAAATGACTAAATAATGCATTAACATTTTATTTTTTTATACACCAAAATTAAATAAGCGTACCTTTCATATTTTATAAAAATCAGAATAACTTTCTTTTTATAGGGATATATTGAAAGTTACTAAAGTATCACAGCTTAAATTTGTTGTGATTGAAGATTTGGCTCAGATCGGTCTCTCTAAACCAGAACAGAGGCGTTACAAAAAAATATATGCGAAATATTTTCCAAATCCATATATATCAAAAATAAAAAAACTCTTAAGCTCAAACAAAAGAAATGATTTGGTAAGTTAAAAATGCCATAGTCACTTTACTTATTTATTTATTGTATGGTTTACCAGTGTTTGTTTACACATTACTTAAAACTGCTAATTAATGCACTCTAGTGTAATATTAAGGTAATTACCGCATGCATTAAAGTAGACACTAAAAATAGGGATTAAGTTTATTTTGAAATAACTCTTGACTCAAGAAATTATTATTATTATTGCTTTCGGGTTCTAAATTGACATATTATTTTCAGAATTCGCATGCACACTGTTCTGTTCCATTGGAATATCAACCATTTTCAGAAAATAATGTTAAAGTTCCTACAAAACATATAATATCTATTGAAGACATAACTATAAATAAAGAATTGGGCATGGGTCAGTTTGGTGTAGTTCAACAAGGCAATTGGTCTACGGGTAATCAAAGAGTAAGTTTTTCTCATTGGAAATAGTAATTCTGTGGTTCAATACAATATTTATAAAATTTTATGTAACCGATAATGTTTTTCCGGTTTAGCTGCAAGTAGCTATCAAATGCTTGGGTCATGAACGCATGACATCGAATTCTACAGAGTTCCTCAAAGAAGCTGCAGTTATGCATAGCATAGAACATCCAAATATAGTCAGGCTTTATGGTGTAGTATTACATTTGGATTCATTAATGCTGGTAAGTCTGATAAGTGGTATCTATACTTATAATAAATCTGTAGAGAGGTCAATTCTGTACATGAAATATATTTTCAAAATAACTATCAGGGGGTGATCAGTGATCGATACTGATGCCAAAATTGCAATCAGTATGTGTGTATGTTCCTTATAGAAACAAAAACTACTCGACGGATTTTACTGAAACTTGGTACAATTATTCTTCATACTCCTGGGCAGGTTATAGTATACTTTACATCACGCTACAATCAATAGGAGCAGAGTAGTGAAGGGAAATGTTGGGAAAACGGGAGAAGTTACTCCATTTTTTAAGCTTCCGTCGCGTGTGCAGCCTTAATGATAATCTATACTTATAATAAATCTGTAGAGAGGTCAATTCTGTACATGAAATATATTTTCAAAATAACTATCAGGGGGTGATTAGTGATCGATACTGATGCCAAAATTGCAATCAGTAAAATTTTTGTCTGTCTGTGTGTATGTTCCTTATAGAAACAAAAACTACTCGACGGATTTTACTGAAACTTGGTACAATTATTCTTCATACTCCTGGGCAGGTTATAGTATACTTTACATCACGCTACAATCAATAGGAGCAGAGTAGTGAAGGGAAATGTTGGGAAAACGGGAGAAGTTACTCCATTTTTTAAGCTTCCGTCGCGTGTGCAGCCTTAATGATAATAATAATTAAAGTTACATAGAAATCATGTATGACGGAAATATTCTACATAAAATTGTCTAAAAAATATCCCGGAACAGCATAATGTCTATCTTTTATGGTTGACTCACAATAACACGTGTAACTCCTGATAGCTTAGTAGTTCGGAGCATTCTGATTATATTTGTTTACGCTTACGTTTATAATACTCTCACTCATCCCTAATTTAAAAAAGTTAACATTATTACCTATCAATAAAAAAAGAATCATAGAAATCGGTATAGAAACACCAAACTTATACATGAAATAAGCCATCGCGCCGACGCACTATGTGGAGATCGAGTCGGTTTCGGGTCATAAATCTATAACTTCCATGTTTTTATAGATATACAGCTGATTTTTTTTTAGGTAATCTGAGATAAACGTACTTTAAAATAATATACAGTCTATGCATATAAAAATATATTTAATAATTGTAAAAAAATACAAAACATGAAATATTGAAAAATTATCATAAATTTACGACTAATTTTAAACAAGGTGACCTAAATGTTATAATTAATACAAAATAAACACATAAAATTACTCTTATTAATTAAATATAATAAGAAAAAGAAAATAACATAGAATTATATTATTCTACTAGCTCTACAGCTTCATCTATAAGTTCCATAGACTTTTTATTGGAAGGTTTTCTTAAACTTGTTATGTAAGGGTCTGAAGTGTACAAAAGTGTATGTAAAACGTCTTCATTTGTAGCTACTCTAGAGCATTTTCTAGCATGATGAAGTCTGAATCGTTTATAGTCTTTGTTCCTTGATTCCTGGGCATCTTCGGAGAGCTGTCCAAGAGGTAACACTGAATAATGCCGAATTACACTTTCCCCATGAATTAGGACTTTATGGACAGATGATGGCATATAATACCACATATATTTACTAACATATCGTTGTGCTGTATCGAAAGCATACTGTCCAAATTTCGTAGCATTAATTACTTTTCCGCTAGACATAACTTGAAGTCATCCACACCGGTAATTTCTGCAGTGCACTGATAATTTTGAAAAAATCGTCTAGCTGTATTACCGTCATTACTGTTACCAGAACCTTGCTTAGGTTTATCTATATTTAAACCAAGTTCTTCTCTGAACCTTCTTTGTACATATGTCTTCTTTTGTTTTTTCAAATCTTTATTTTCTGTCGTTGTAGCAGACCATTTTTCAAAGCCTACATTATAAGATATATGTAAAATTAGTTCCATGAATCTAATCCAGCAATGTAAAGTCGAAAGCCCATATTGATAAGAATTTTCGTCAACAGGTTTATTTTGTACTTTTTCTAAATTGTTCATCTCTGTAGGTCTTGCACCACAAATAGTACATACAGCACCTGATGAAGTTTCTGACAAAACTTGAGCCACTTTCCCGTCAACCATTGTCAAAAATAATGTGTGTTTGATTTCAATACTTTCACCATTTTTATTGATTAAGCTTGTTGTGAGAGCGTTTCTTTGAGCTATAATTTCATTAACTACACTTGTAGTTTTCTCTGGTGTCTCTTTTGAAAATTCTATTAAAATGGGCCTACAAAATCTTACTGATGATGGAACAGGGTTTTCCCACAAAGTTTCATTTGTATTAATATCAACAAGTTTCAGAGGTACTAATGAAGATATAAATAAATTTGTGTCAGAAATTAACTCATCTTCTTCAGTTAAGACTTGCTTGTATTCACTTTGTCCGCTTGAGCCATCACAGCCCCATTTCGAATACAGCATTAAATGTTTTTTGCCAGCTTTGTATACACCATTGATTTTCAAAATTCTTGCAATAGTGTGATCCAGCAGATCTTGCAGTTTTATTTTTGCTGTAATATTATTAATTTCTATGCTTGATCTTGGTGGGTAGCACATTCCTTTAGCTTCCTGAATTGATTTATATGACGGAAATAATACGCAGTTCTTCGCAATTAAGCAATTTCTCATGTTTTCATACTGTGCCATGTTAAGGTCCAACTCTATAAAAATACTGAGAGCTTCATCTTTAGAGTACGCTGTTAAATGTGCCGGTTCATTTAAAAGATTTTGACGTATTTCACTTTTTTTATCTATGGGTAATACTCGTAAAATTTCGACAATGAATGCTTCTTCCGTTTCCCCTTGAGATCTCAATCCTTGAAGATATGAATTCAGTATAAAATCAAGGCCACATGTTTCAAGCAACTCCTTGTTTTTTCGTCTTTGTGTTCTATCGGAACTGTGTTCGTAGGTTTTAGAAGGGCGTCCTCGCTTCCCCGTCGATGTCGAAGGTTCAGATTCACAAGTAGGATCTTCCAGATTTACTGTGAATGTGGCATTCAACCACAGGCTATTCTGATTTAAAAAAATTTCTTGATTTCTGCCAGATTTAGTGTAGCGTTGACGAAAGTTCGTAATAAGATTTTTTTGTACACTCGCGACAATTTTAGCGATATTTGCCTCAGAAAAGTTGATAAAATTATTCCGTATATAACTTGTTAAAGCAACAACATAATTCCCGTCACTGTCAATCAAAACAAGACATAGGTCGCGTCTGGTACATTGGAATTCACTCATTGCGAGAGAGTAGGTGGTTAGATACACTTTTAGTAACGACAATAACGAACGAAAAACAGTATGTAATTATTCAGTATGCAGATGCTCTATTTTATATTAAATAACTGATTTGAAACGTATGCAAAGTATGGGAATAAAAACTATTTATCATTATGTGGTTACTCGGTTTCCTATGTGTTTTACTGATAATTTATTTTGTAGGCGAACTAAAAATGGTGAGAAATACTCGATACATTATCAAAACATAAACCGCAATTAATAATATATCACAAGTGTAACCTATAGCAACTAATAAAACAAATAGATTCGCCCACGTATTTTTAAGAAATTATTACTATTTCATGTTATGATAGATAGCATTATGTTGTGCAATGAAGTTGCAACTTTGTTTTCTTCCTGTATAAAAATATTAAATTTCCTATCAAATAACATCATTTACAGACCTTCGGCAAATTTCGGCAACTGTCAAAACTCTAATTGAAAGTTTCAGATCCGCAAAAATAATATGTCATGAGATAAATATTTCTAGTAAATATATTTATAAATATATAGCATATTTCTGTATACCAAAAAAAGTATATATTATAAGCTTTCTAAAATGGTATAATACTTGTATAATTTTCATTGCTAGCTTACTAGAAAATCATCCTGAAAAAAATACAAATTATGATGTTTTCGTGATAATTTTTCAATCATCGTATTTAGATGCTCTTTACTATAAAAAAGTACTAGTTACATACATAATTTATACATAATATAGTAGATCAACTTCTTAGCTATAGTTTGAGGTATAATACAAGTACCTGCGCCGATTTTTACAAAATGTATTTATGGCCAAGCTCTCTTAGGCACCTCCACATAGTGCGACGCGTCGCACGTGAATACTTGAATCATGCTATAAGGATTATTTTTGTGTAACGGTTGCCGCGCTCGACACGGGTCGCGGGTGCGGTAGGGTATAAAAAGGCGGGAGGTCCGAGTTCAATATTTGGCTGTTGACACAGCGGTGACACTCTCTGTATGTGAGAGTTCCAGCGTCAGTGACCTTGAGCAGGAGCGTGTATGCGCTAGGGTTGAACTTGGAATTTAGACTTGTGCCAATGAATATTTATGCATAGTAAGTTATTAAATGTAAACTGATTCAAGGATACTGGGGTAAATAATGAAGAATAGGTTTGATTTTATAATCAATTTTTAATCTTTTAATGTAGTACAAATTGCTAACTTTTATATATTTTCTCCTTTTTCGATTCGTTTTATAATTCTTATTATTATCTAAATAATAATAAGATTACGTAGCGTAGTCAGTCAGTGCGTGCAATGCAGTGCAACGCTATTATTTTACTATTTCGCTACTGCCATGCCTTCGGTCGAGGCAGTCGGCGACTGCCCTCTCCACGCCCCGCGCGCCGCGCAACGCCCCCGCGCACCTCCAGACACCCACACATAGCCGCGGGCGATTTTACGAGCACACATGCTTAAGTGTCGCTTCTTTTCGCGTAGTGTATATATTCTGTGCTGTTGATGCGTTCAGAGCGTTCGACCTGTGGCACATCACTACGCGTCGTCGTGCCCTCATCACTAACAGCGGCTACGTCACGAACGCGTATGTCGCGGGGCGCGGTATGCGGGAGACGCGGACCGGTCTGGAACCTGCTCCCAGTCGCTTGGCCGGCAGCGCAGTGTGCTACGAATCACCTCGCACACAACTCCACGTCACTCGTCCTTCCGTCTTTTCCAATACAATTATTGTTAATATCTCGTTAATTATTATCAGTATACGAATTGTATTTCTTCTACGGTGTTTCACTTCGTATCCGCTCGCTATTTGTAGGGATAGTAACATTACATCCTCAGACCTTATTGACAGACAATAATTAATATTGAGAAACCGTACTTATCATAGATTATTTGAATTTCTTTTGTTGTTATTTTGTAAAATAGGTATTAGTTGTTTTGGTAGTGTTTAAATATTCGTTTAAATTAAAAATTATTTAGCGTAGGTACTTTTATTAATTACAGTAGTTATAAGTATATTTATTTTAAAGTGAAGTAGGTATAGGTAGATAGTGTTGCACAGGCGTTTCAGCTTTATTTTCATTTCTTTTACGGTTCTGCCACCTACATTACTGCGAGGAATAAAATACTATCAAATCTATATATATATAAAACTCAAAGGGACTGACTGACTGACAGTGATCTATCAACACACAGCCCAAACCACTGAACGGTTCGGGCTGAAAAGACTATGGGCAAAAATGTATGGGCTCCGTCCCCACCCACCAACAAACATGGAACTGATACCAATGTGTTTCTAAAGTGCTCCCTATTTGATTAAAATAATTTATTTTAGATAAATCACTGGGAATATATAAAAAAAAATCAATTTGTAATTATTAATTAACGTATATTTTTATTTCACATTTGTAAGTTATTTTAATATTATGGTTATATTACAGTACAAAACATGATTGAGTTATTTAACAAAGTATACAAAACGTATTTGAAATGGTAGTTATCTATTATATGTAAAGTATACGTATATAATTGATATAAATGATTTATATTCTTATAACACTCATAGTAGGCCAATAAAAATAGTGCGTGCTATTGCACACTATTATCGTGCCTTTTTTACTCACTTATGTTTATTATTCTAGCTGTGTACCGATCACCAACCCGCCTGCCCAACGTGGTGATTACGGGCAATATCTTAAATGCACACAGACTACAAACCACGGCCTCCAGTTCCCGGCAGCCCCGTTATTCCTGGTCACGGTGGCGACCATGGTAACGGCGGGGCGGGGTGTGCCAAGAATCTCCGGGCTACGGGAGGCCACCACAATAGACTCGCCCTGGCGACGTGCAACGCACGCACGCTACGGCTTGACTCGCATCTGGCGCAACTCGAGGTGGAACTTGGGAAGATAAGGTGGCACGTGTTAGAGTTAGTGAAGTCCGAAGAGGATGAAGGCGACGAGGAAGAAGAGGGGGAGGACACCACAACCCTCGAATCGGGCCACCTAATGTACTTCCGCGGGGGAGACCAACAGTCCCAAGGTGGCGTTGGGTTTTTGGTAACTAAATCCCTTGCCGATAACGTTGTAGAAATGTATATAATTGATATAATATCACCAAACCAGTCATGTCGAACAGGGTAGTGTACCTTATTATAAAGCTCACCGAGAGGTATAGCCTCAAGGTGGTGCAAGTGTACGCACCGACATCGACACGCTCGGACGACGAAGTGGAGGATATGTTCGATGATATATCGAGGGCCCTCCACTCCACTACTAAGACCTACTACAACGTTGTTATGTTATAAGTAGGATTCCATTGATTTGGAAGCAGAAATCATAGGGGGCAAATGCTCGTCAACTTCCTCAAACAGAAAGGGCTCTTCTTGATGAACTCTTTCTTCAAGAAACAGCCCCAAAGGAAGTAGACGTGGCAAAGCCCCGATACTATGACTAAAAATGAGATCGATTTCATCGTGACGAACAAGAGGTTCATATACAGAGACGTCTCCGTGATCAACAGGTTCAATACCGGTAGTGATCACTGACTCATCCGGGGCTCTCTGAATATCAACTTTAAGGCCGAGCGCGTCCGTTTGATGAAATCCAGGCTCCAACCTACTCTGCTCCAATCTATAACATGATCTGAAACGTTTCAGTTAAATCTGGAGAACCGATATGCTGCCGTGGAAACCACATCAGACGTAAACTAAAACCTCGAAAATGTGCTTCGGATGCTCAGGGAAGAGGGTACGAGATTATGTGCAACGCAGCATAAGGGTAGGAAGTCAAAGCTTTCGGAAGAGACTTAAAGTAAACACCGAAAACACAAAAAGAAATAACACGTTAACGTACAATGCAGCGAACTGACTGTGACTAAGGTTAGGACGCCTGCGCAGGAGCATGGGGCGGGGAGCGGGGGGATGGGGTTATTTTGTAACCTGTTATCTTTATGATCATGCGCAGCCCGCCGCTGTACACTAATGAAAAGAAAAATGAGTAGGTATTTTGGAATTAGTCGTCAATAATACGTCAATGAGATATTTATTTAAACGTAAGATACCATGACACAGTGTTTTATGGAACCAAAAAAATTTACATGTTCAGGTTTTTACATAAATAGATTATTTATACCCTAAAAAAGGCATGAGTTCAATTCCCAGAAGTCTAACTCAAATACTTTTTGAGAAAAAAAAACATGAACTTATCGTGACCTTTGACCTATGAAATCTAGAATATTTTTTTATAAAGTGTATATTAACAATATATTTTTTTAATAAATATGTGTCAATCGGGCATAATCAGAGGCGTATAAACGCGTTTCTTTAGCTTAAAAAAATGCATTGGTTTGGGAGCAGATTTTTTTTTTTGTATTTCGTATTTATTGATTTTTCTCCCTAAAAACGAAAAAGTGGAACCTAGAACTTCGATAGAAATAAACCTACGGATGTGTTCTATCATACATAAATAAGCCACGTGTCACTTTTGCGGCGATTAGAAGATATTCATTTTTAAATTTTTATGCTAGGGTTGACACCGAACCTGACCTCGAACGAAAATTTTTAAAATATAAATTTGTGTATTAGTTTTGAACGAGTTTACAATAATGTAGATTTTAGGAACTTACTACAGTACCTTTAACATATTTTTATGGGCTCCAAGCTCTATTTGCAAAAAAGGAACGCTTATGGTGATTCCCAGTCAAGGCGGAAGTCATTATAATGAATATCGATTTTCGTTTTCAGGTCTGAGTATTAACTATTAATTGTTTGTTTTGTGTGTGTGTTTTGGAGACCCAATTAGACATAAGTTCATGCCTGCTTACCTCTACGTTTTTTTTGTAACAATAATAGTTACACCTACTAACTGATTTATGCCCAAGATTTGTTTTTATTTTCTGATCGAATGCCTGAATGATTCTGAATGAATTTTGAAATTTTTTTCAAGCAACATAGTTCATTTTTTCGTTACCGTTTAGCGTGTAAGGTACAAAGTTAAAATGTGGTCGAACAAACATAAAGTATTCCTACATTATCACATCTACATTAGGTAGGTACCTAGTATATGTAAGTATATTGTATTCGTCTACAAGTGTTGTTAATTTATTCAATTGATTGACGGTATTAATTAACAAACAAAAAATTTAACATTTTCATTTAACTCATAGTTGACCTTTGTGACAATCCTAGATCATGAAAGTTGACCTTTATCTAAATTCTGTCATAACTTCTTAAAACCGCAAAAGTGAAACCTGATTTTTTTATGGGTGATAGAACTTGGCTTATAGAACCTTTCTGTACTAAATCCAGGTTCCACTTTTGCCGATATTTGGAGAAAAAAATTAAAAATCGAAATTTAAAAAAAAATATTTCTCGGAAAATAGGACACTTATAAATAAAATAAAATTGCAAAATTATGCCTTCAATAATTCCTTATCAAGTGGCAAATATCTCATGTACAGATATGGAACCGTCTTTTGAGGAAATTAAATTGTTAATTTTTTAATGCTCAAATTTCAAAAACTTTGCTACTTCATATCTTTTTTTTTAATGGAAATAGTGGTCTGAGAATTGAACTCTTGCCTTTATTAGGGTATAAATAATTGATTTATGCAAAAATCTTAAGGTGTAAATTTTTTTGGTTCCATAAAACACTGTGCATGAGAACCCCATGCATTTGGGCCACGTCGCCATAGTAAAAAACTATCATCTTGCCAAGATCTATCAATTGAGCTACATTTCATTTGTGTTGATGGGTGGGGACGATTCCGCCCATAGTCCTTTGGCATGCAGGTAGATGTTATGACGTAGGCATCCGCTAAGAAAGGATTTTGATCAATTCTACCCCGAAGCGAAGCGAGGGCGGGCCACTAGTTGATAATAAAGTTGTGTTTAGTGCTATTTATTATGTTGATTTTTATAATAGGGATTACAATTTTATTACCTTAATCGTTCTCGCAGGTGACAGAGCTGGCCCCTCTCAGGTCGCTTTTAGAATGTCTACGTGAAGTTACACTGCGGCCAAATTTTCCTGTGCCAAATTTATGTGAATTTGCTGAGCAAATATGTGATGGCATGACTTATCTTGAAAACAAAAGACTGATTCATAGGTATGGAAATGAAGCACGGCAGTTTTTATTGTAGAGTAATTCATTCATACAGTGTAATTTTTATCAAAACATATCATTAATTTGTGTATAAAATGTAATACTTATTAATTTTTGCTTATGCATGTTATCTTACTAGCTATGTGGTAGAAGTCGCATGAGTAAGTAGTGATCATATTTTCACCTCTCAAATATGCATCTTGCGTAGTACAATATAAAATGCTTTAAATTTAAATAACATTTTACTACAGTTGCTTTCATTTTTATTGGTATGTCTTTTTGTCTTTACAGGGACTTAGCGGCAAGAAATATCTTAGTTTTTAGCAAAGATAGAGTAAAAATCTCAGACTTTGGTCTTTCACGAGCCTTAGGTGTCGGAAAAGACTATTATCAAACAAATTACAACGTGAATCTGAAATTGCCAGTAGCATGGTAAGCATTATAATACAGTTTTTTAATAAGTACAATTGTCTGATTACTTTAAGGAGTTGAAGTATGTTATTGCCTATTTCTACTGAAAAATTAAAGCGGAGTGTTTTCTAAGATGTAACATATTTCTTAAATCAAAATATTTACCCTCATTTAATACATTGTTGCCAACTTATCGGATCTCTGCCTCTGCGATAGAACTCTGAGGATATACATATATTCGACAAACCGTGAAAGCCTCTTGCATAATGTAAATGAATTTTTAATGGATACTGATATTTTGATTTTTTTTTTATTTTTTTATTGATGTATAGATTAATGTATTGATTCTTTTATGATTATAATTTTATTGAATTTAAAATATTAACAAATTTTCGTATGCTGTTGAGCATGACATGGAGGCACATTTATATAAATTTTAAAAACTTATTGTTGCTGATGACAACGAATAAAATGATTTGATTGATAAATAAATCTTTACTACGTAAATAGAAAATTGACGAAATCAGAAAGTTGTTCATTGGAGCAAGGTTTGGCGAGTACTGAGGATGACGTATCATGGAGCAAAAATTGTGAATATCGGTTCAGGTCGGGGCTGTTTTACTGCTAAAATCGCCATCATTTTTCGAAATTCGACTCGGTAAATATTTGCTGTTATTGCTAGAATAGATCTAAAAACGTTATAATGAATAACACCATAAATTTTACCTAACAGTTACCATTACCGTTTTTTTTGGTAAGCTTTGCCTTAGGGCACTGTTGTTGCGTGAGGTTACGTTGTGTTGTAGATAAAATTAAGCCCAAGAGAAAGATAAGAGGTTTTAAGATATAATACTGCGTCCATCCCTTTAAGTGTCTGCGCAGTCAAATGACTTTTGTCCACGGATGACAAAAGTTCCTCAATAGGTCGGACGGTGTGCATAAATTTGTTGCCCGAAAGCAGACGTGTCGGTAGCCCATGTAGCACCAGTAGGCAAACATTACCCTAACGCCCGCCCAGTAAGCACGCGGTCAAAATGAAATGAAAAGGTACAAAGTACCTACTAGTAACACATCAAGTTACCACAAATTGACAAACTTCCCCAATGGACAATAAACTCTTATGTTTTGAAACTCTTCATAAGAAATGATGAAAAAAAATTGGCGATGTTGGATAGGATACCATATCCAACATCAATAATTTTTTTTCTTCACTTCATGTGATGATGATGTGCTGCTGACTGTATTTAGAATTTTATAGGCTGTTCTGATATTGACGATGATGACCCTAACAAGCCTAAACTTACTCATGTACATGTCTATGTACATCTAATAACAATGGCTAAATTTTGAAAATTCTTCATTCTAATTTTATTATGACCTCATATCGAACATACAAAGATCAATATCAATTGGGAACATTTGACAGATTTGGGAAGCTCACTGCGAGCTTGACCCACTGTATACCTATAGAAAGTAATTTTAGGAAGGAAAGGGTGACAAGAAAAACAAACACAAGTTTCTGGTTTAAAACTAAAAGCTAAATAGCTCAGGACGTAATCAACATTAATACTGCTATTCCGCCGAGTGCGTGTCGTGCCACGCGCAGTGTAGGGTTCCGAAGTCGCCTGTAGTTACCACAATATATTTGAGCAGGGGTCTCTATTTTCTATATTGGTTATTAGAAAAAAAACAACATCAATCTATGTATCTCAACTAAAATACTGACTAAAAGCTTCATCTGAAGCGATCATCTCCTGAGAAGGGGATGTTGCGGTATAACCGCCGCGCCGATCTTTTCAAGTGCTTATATACTTTTTATAAAAACGTAACGATACCGCGACTCGGAAGCTGTTGCCGTTGGTACTCGCGGTAGCGTTGTAGACTTAATGATGTTTTTTTAGATTTTGTCGCAATGCAAGGTTTTTCCCCTAGGATCCCTGCGCCCGTCTGCAACGCGCACCCTGCACTATGGTGCTGGTGTGCGTTGCACGAACTATATTCTCTCCCTCAATTCTTTAATAGATGTCACTGGCGCAAAATACACTAAGTCCTTCATGAGACCCCAAAGATAAAAGTTGCATGGCATCAAATCAGACTTCTCACCAGCCATGGCGTCGGGCCCCCACGAGTGATCCATCTCAGTGAATAATTGCGATCTAGCCATTGTCGCACACCTCGGTAATAGTGGACTGGGTACCCATCGTGCTGGTATCTGTTCTTGTAGACAGAGGAACATCTATCAAAAGCGAGTCCTCTTCCTCACTTATGAAGTTCTCGTAGGTATATAAAAAAACAACGCAAATAAATCGTAAATGCAACGCGAAAGTTTAAAATTTCAAATTGTAGTAGCTGAATATCTTTATTAAGTTTTACAAATGAAAATGAACAGTTTGCCCTACAGCGCCCTTTCGATGATTTTAATAAAAACAGCTAAGAAAGTTAATAACTTTTGTACTTTTTTGGAAAGCTTATGAAACTGGTTAGTCATTTTACTAATGACATTGGCCGAAATTGTACGGATGCTGCACCCACGTCCGCCACGGCCTAAACTACATTTGTTTGAAAGATATTATTTATAGTCATGATTATCTGGGCCAAAGGGCATCAAATTCTATTCCGGGGGTCTTATTAGTTAAACAGGTACAAGTACTATAACGAATGTACAGTACAAGGAAATAAATCATGAAACTTTTATTTCATTACAAATATTTTTAATAATCTTGGTTCACAATCACTGTGTCTAAGAAAAGATTCTGGCGTTATATTCTCTAAACCTAAACTTAAAATTAGAGAGCTAATTTTAGTTTAGGTTTAGAGAATTGGTATTCTGAAATTGCGAACTAACTAAATTAAGAACTCTGTTGACAGCTGTAAACGCGCATCTAAATCGAATAAAAGCATTGAACCGGTTATTATCGGTTTACTGAAATTAGCAATAAATACTTATTATTCAGTGATTTTAACTTATTTCAGTGTTTCTTTGTTGTTCTTTATCATCTTTGAAATATGGAAACTTAACATAAGTTTGTTATTTTACTGTATGAAAAATTATGAATCAATAAAGAGTGAATACTAGCCTACTCTGTGGTCCTTAGGGTTTCCAGATTAGGAGTGTTTATCCTTATTTTGGGGAAAAATATGAAGTTGGAGAAATTAAATCTGCGGGGAGAACTTTAGGAATCATATTTTTTCTTAGAGCATGCCTAAGTATTTTTTTTGGCAAATTTTTTTTTATTTAAATTAAATTTAAATATAGGTACTATGGAGTTCTACCCAGAATGGATAGAACCTGGGGACGTGCTTATTAATTAAAAGATACTGGTAGAGATAAGTTATTTATTTTATTCAGGCGAATATAAAGAATTTTATCTAAATACGAGAGGTTTTCTTGGTGCCTGAAGATCTAATCTTGAATGGAACCTTCTATCAAAAGACAGACGATTCCTTATTTCAAATCTTAAAATCATGACATTAACTTTTTAATATAACTGCCAACCGTAGGCATTGTAAAAGCAAAGAGTTTACCTAAACAAGGAGGTGCAACGTCACGGACGTTACATCCCTCCAGCACCTCTAAAAAAAAATTGTTTTGTCATACCAGATGACCGAACAAAATTTTTTTTTCCTACCTACTACATCGAGCGGGTTCGACAGTCCTATCTAAAATCCCTACCTGCTTAAGGACATAAATACAACTGGGAGGTGGCCTTTACTACAGACTAATCCTCACAATAAGTTTGCACAACTTGCAAAAAAAACTTTACGGGAAAAGAACCCTAACTGTTTGCAAAGTTTTATTGCAAAGACTTTACGGGAGCAAAACCTTAACAAAATCCCTCGTACATCTCCCTCCTAACCTTAACTTTACTTTACTTTACATCGACATCAGTCGGCACAAACAAAAAAACAAAGCTAACCCTAGCTTTACCTTAAATTACCCAAGCAATTTTTATTTCATTAAATATCAAGAAAATTTATATTTTGAAACTTCATTACTTCTCATACTAAGTAGATGTACGAAACGAAATTCAAACTATTTCCTAAGATTCGTAAACATTAACTGGATTTGAGCAAAACCTAAAAGAATTTATAATTAACTAGCTGTGCCCCGCGGTGTCGTCGCGGTTTATTAGGGATATTTTCCCGCAGTAAAACGTAGCCTATGTGTTAATCTAGAGTGTCAGCTAGCTTCATACCAAATTTTATTAAAATCGCTCCAACCGTTTAGACGTGAAGAAGTAACAAACATACACACTCACAAACTTTCGCCTTTATAATATTAGTGTGATGTTTACTTTCGTACATCTTTAATAAAGATACAGACGTGGTCCACCACTTTATTGTCTTGTACTTTATTAGACACCCATGATGCGCAAACGTAATAGAAATTTTGGGTAAGGACATCTAGCATCAAACAAGATTAAACCCAATTCCCATGGAATACTAAGGGTTCCCTACCCCCAAGTCAAACTACTACAAGTGACGATTTCGACGAACGCGACGCGACCAAATTGAAACGAAAACGACGCGAATTCGTAGAGGGTGTCTCCATCATATTCAGGGTGGATCATCGTCAGTATCGCTGATGTCTGCATGAGCGCCAGCCTGCTCTCTCTCGGGAAGTCCGCATCATGTGGTAGTACATAAAACAATCAAGAAAATATTAGTAAAATTCTTTACACCATTTTTCTTCAGTCGGGTAAGTTAATATTCATGAAAACATTAAGTTTATGATAAGTCTTTATACCATCTTTTCATAGTTGGATAAATTTTCAAAATTTAACATTATTATTCATTTATTTATTTTTTAACCTTACAGGGAATCGAACCCGTTTCCTTTTTTATAATAAGGGAAGTTTTATTTATGGACCTATATTACCCTATTATACATTATTAACTATATATATTCTATCCTAATGCTGAACTGATCCTATCAATGATCATATTCAAAGTCAATTGAATAATTCCAAGTTGAACAGAGAATCGAACCTGTTACCTATCATTCTTATGGTTATTACGAT